TTAGCTGGGTGTGATCTCAGCTACTCAGGAGACTGAGGCAGGAGGATTGCTTGAATCCAGGAGGTGGAGGTGGTAGTGAGCTGAGATCACGCCACTGCACTCCAGCCTGGGTGACAGAGCAAGATTCCGTCTCAAAAAAACAAAAAAGAAACAAGTTCGAAGTCCCAGCAGCTGGCCAGAAGCCTGTATTTCATGCTCACTGGTCTGGAGGTCGGCTGAGGCTCAGTGGGGCTAAGCTGATCTTAGCTGGACTCGCTGGGTTCGCTGGGCCAGACAGGGCTTGGCTGGACAAGGGTTTGAGTCTGCTCCACGCACGTCCATCTGGGGCTGCATTGCCAGGGCAGGCTCACTCCTGGGGAAGGTGGAGGGCCAACCGGGCTGGTCCAAACACACTTTGTCCCTGGGGGCCTCCTCTGGGAACCAGCCCACCGTCCATATTTCACTGGCCAGGCCCAGGACCCGTGGGATGGGAGACAGGAGCAACCATATTATTCCCAGGGTCCGGGGCAAATAAAAACATGGGGCCCCTTGATTAGCAATTAATTATGAAGAACTTTAAGAGGGTGACAGCAGAGCACTCAGCCACACACGGGACGGAGAGAGGCTCCTCGGGACCCCAGCCCCACACGCACCTGTGAGGCCGTGACCACAGCCCCCACACACGCCCGTGAGGCCGTGACCGCAGCCCCCACACACGCCCGTGAGGCCGTGACCGCAGCCCCCACACACGCCCGTGAGGCCGTGACCGCGGCCCCCACAGACGCCCGTGAGGCCGTGACCGCGGCCCCCACACACGCCCGTGAGGCCGTGACCGCGGCCCCCACACACGCCCGTGAGGCCGTGACCGCGGCCCCCACACACACATCTGTGAAACCACCCCTGGTGGGAAAACGGCCTCTACCTCCTCCAGTGGGAAAATATCATGACACAAAAACCATGGACATAAACTCCAAATGCGAAGAGGGAGAGCGGGAGAGAGGGAATGCAGAGAGCAGAGACAGGAATGAGTCCAGTTGTCACGGCTCTAGGGGAGAAGACGTGAGGTCACTCTCCCCGGCCACACTGGGTCAGGGCCAGCCTCGGGGCAGAGCTCAGCTCTGGACACCGCTCCCGCAGGAAGGGGCCCTGGATGACTCCGGGTGGCTCATCAAGAATGTGCTGTCCATGCCCATTGTCAACAAGAAGGAGGAGATCGTGGGGGTCGCCACGTTTTACAACAGGAAAGACGGGAAGCCCTTTGATGAACAGGACGAGGTTCTCATGGAGGTAAGCACCTGGGCAGACGTGGTTCCGCCGGGGATGCCCTGCGAGGGGTGGGGCCTGTGCAGTGTGGGGGCCTCCCTGCCATGCATTCAGCCGTGCGTGCGTGCTCATGTGCGTGTTATGTACGTGTGGTGCAGCGTGCGGCCAGGGAGAGGATGACAAAGGGCCCCCCCCCGGGGCAGGGGACTCTGTAGAGCACCCGGGAGACCCCGCACGGAAGCACTGCAACACCACGGTGGCAGCCCCAGGACCTGCCTGCCAAGCCATGGGCCCGGGCACATGGGCACACGGGAGGGGGCGCGCCAGGAGCACTGAGCGCCGGTGACACCGCCACCCCCTCCAGTCCCTGACACAGTTCCTGGGCTGGTCAGTGATGAACACCGACACCCACGACAAGATGAACAAGCTGGAGAACCGCAAGGACATCGCACAGGACATGGTCCTTTACCACGTGAAGTGTGACAGGGACGAGATCCAGCTCATCCTGGTGCGGCGGGGGCAGGTCGTCCAGGGATCACCCAGGGGTCATGGCTGTGCGGCAGGGGCACGTCACCCAGGGGTCATAGCTGTGCGGTGGGAACAGATCGCCAGGGGTCACAGATGTGCGGCAGAGGCAGGTCGCCCAGGGGTCATGGCTCCCTCTGTGCAGTGGGGGGCCAGGTCACTCAGGGGCACAGTGGGGGCAGGTCGCCCAGGGGTCACAGGTGTGCAGTGGGGCCAGGCTACCCAGGGGTCACAGCTCTCTCTGTGTGGCGGGGGCACGGCCCTGGGGCCAGAGCCGAGTACAGCCCTGGCATGCCCCCTGAGATCTCTCTGTCTGCATAGCTCCGGTACCCCTTCCCTGTGCTCAATCTCCCCAGCCAGTGTGGCCTTGTGTGGCCAGAGCCCTCCTGGTCATCATGAGAGAGTCCCATCATTATACCTGAGGACTGTAAAGCAGTGCCCAAGAGACAGGACAGGTGGGAAAGTGAGCAGGCCGTGCACACGGTCGTTTGTCTCCAGATCAGAGGCTGCCACGGCCTTCCCAAGGAGAAAGCATGAGCTCTTGGCAGCACCTTCCTCCAGCTCACATGGGGTGGACGCACTGCTGTCACCTTGTCCCACACGCGAGGCTCCTTCTTGTGACACATCTGTGTCTCTGTGCTAGCCAACCAGAGCCCGCCTGGGGAAGGAGCCTGCTGACTGCGATGAGGACGAGCTGGGCGAAATCCTGGTAAGAACCTCACTCCCGTCCCTCCCGTGGAGGCCGGCCACGTGTGAGGCTGGGAGGAAGCATTCTCCATTCTCCGGGACCCGAGGGTGCTTTGCACACACAGTGACATTGGGGATGTTGGTGCTCTGTGTGTGTGTGTACTTGTGTATCTAAGCACCTCAGTGTACGTGTGTCTACCTAAGCTTTCAGTCTCAGCCAGTGTGTCTCTGAGTGTGTTTGCATGACCAGAATGTGGGTTTGATGTCTGCACTCCTGAGTGTATCTTCGTGTCTTCCTGTCTCCTCTGTGCTTTGCCAGATGTTTAGTCTTCACCAGATGTTTAGTGGGCCTGACTTGGACTAAGTGTCCGTCTACGTCATTTCTGCTGTCAAGTGCCTAGGTGCCTGCAACACCCAGTGTGTGTGCATCTGCATGTGTGCACACACGGGGGTGTCTGTGTGTGCACAGATGTGTACACATGTGCACATGTGTGTGTGCACATGTGGATGTCTGTGTGCATGTGTGTGCATATGTGGGTGTGCATGTGTGTGCATGCATATGAGTATGCACGTGTACATGTGTGGGGGTGTGTGCACGTGTGTGTGCGCGCACATGGGTGTTTATGTGTGTGTGCTCATGTGTGCACAGGTGGGTGTGTATTGTGTGCGCATGTGTGTGCATATGGGTATATAGAGACACATGCTTGTGTGTGTCTCCCAGAGACCATTGCTGGATCAGTGTGGGGATTACATGGTGTCCCCATCATCCTGTGTCTGCCTGTGCAATTCGCCCAGAATCTCCCGGGGCCGTGTGCCTTATGAGGAGGCCTTGGGCCGAGCATGGGAATGTGCTAGTGAGTCCACTGTTGTGTGTGTTACCTCATGGCTGTGTGTGAGCCTACATGTGTGAGTCTGCACGTGTGTGCCTGCGTGTCTGTGGGTGTGCCTGGGTGCTCATGTGTGCGCCTGTGTATCCACACTGGTGCCTTTGTATTCACGGGAGTGGCCGTGTGTCCAGGTGTGCCTGTGTCACGTGTGTGTCTGTATCCGTGTGTGTGTGTTTCTTTTCATGTGCACACCTTTGTGTTTTCTTATTTCAACAACATCACCCTGTCCACCCAACTGGGCAAGTTCTTCACTGTTGGGCCACAGGGTAGAAGAGGGGAGAGTGAGGCTGAGTCACGGGGGCGTGTGAGCAACCTGGGATACAGGCTGGAGCGCCGGAATGACACGTCTCCTCATAGATGCCTGGGGTGTCTGAGGCTTGACAGGGGATCCCGAGAGAAGAAAGGATGAGAAGTAAGTGGGGGCTGTGGCAAGCCAGCTTCCCTCAGCCCACAATCCCTCCCACAGAAGGAGGAGCTGCCAGGGCCCACCACATTTGACATCTACGAATTCCACTTCTCTGACCTGGAGTGCACTGAACTGGACCTGGTCAAATGTGGCATCCAGATGTACTACGAGCTGGGCGTGGTCCGAAAGTTCCAGATCCCCCAGGAGGTGGGAGACACCGCAGGGCGCATAGTCAGGTCCCTGAGGGCGCCCAGGATGTGGGGATGGGGATGTGGTCATGGCCTCAGTTTCCCCAGGAGGTAATGGGGACGGAATTGGGGGTTCCAGATCCCACAGGAAGTTTAGAAGGCAAACATGTTCATCACAGAACAGGTAAAATGCATACGGGAAGTAAGCATAAAACAAATAATTGGATGGCTGGATTGATGGGTGGCTGGGTGGGTGGAAAGCAGGAAGGAAGGAGGGAGGTTAGGAAGGAAAGAAGGAAGGAAAGAAGGAAGGAAGGAAAGAAGGCAGGCAAACAGGTAAGCAGAAAGAAACAAAGAATAAATGGATGGATGGGCGGGTGGGCCAGTGGCAGTTGGATGGTCGGATAAATGGGTGGATGGGCGGGTGGGTCAGTGGCAGTTGGATGGCTGGATAAATGGGTGGATGGGTGGGTGGGCCAGTGGCAGTTGGATGGTCGGATAAATGGGTGGATGGGCGGGTGGGCCAGTGGCGGTTGGATGGTCGGATAAATGGGTGGATGGGCGGGTGGGCCAGTGGTAGTTGGATGGCTGGATAAATGGATGGATGGGTGGGTGGGCCAGTGGCAGTTGGATGGTCGGATAAATGGGTGGATGGGCGGGTGGGCCAATGGTAGTTAGATGGTTGGATAAATGGGTGGATGGGCGGGTGGCAATGGTAGTTAGATGGTCGGATAAATGGGTGGATGGGCGGGTGGGCCAGTGGTAGTTGGATGGCTGGATAAATGGGTGGATGGGTGAGTGGCCCAGTGGTAGTTGGATGGTTGGATAAGTGAATGGATGGATGGATGGATGGATAGATGGATGGAAGGAGAAGTGGGTGGATGAGTGATAGATGAGTAGGTGGGTCAATTCATGAATTAATAGATGGGTTGATGAATGGGTGAATGGATGGGTGGACAGCAGATGGATGGTGAATGGATAGATTTAAAGTTTTATTATTAGGAGTTCCAAGGGATTTGATCATTAGGCACATCATCCGGCAATCACAGGGGATCTGGTGTGGGGTGCTGAGGAAATGGAGGCATCCCGTCACCTAAACAGAGAGCACAAAGCAGCCATCCAGGTTTGGCCGCAGCGGCGCTCCTCGGAGACCCCATGGCTTTCCCAGCCCTCGTCCACAGCTCTGTGCCCTCCCTGGGTTCTCCTGCTCTGCCCTGCTTCCAACGTTGCATCTCAGGGGGCTTCCCACAGCCCAGGGAAGAGAATCCTCTTTTCTCATGCCCCTCTGAGAACAGGTGCCGCAGGGCGGCATTTTCAAAATAAATTTTACTAAATACTAAGGGAAAACACTCAAGAAAAGATGTATAGAAATATTTGCAGAATGAAAAATATTTCCAAATAATTTTCTGACCCTAAAAATCACAATGGCTGCAGGAAGAGCTCCCAGTGACCAGCATTCTCTTGCCCTGCAGACGTCGGCTCTACCAACCCAGCCTGCAGCCCACACATTCTGCTCATTCAAATGTCCATGCCTAAAACTGACATCTTAAAATATGCTGTGTCCCCAGGGGTCCTCCTCCCAGCTTGAGGCCAGGCAGTCGGATGGAGGCCGGGCAGCCCCTGAAGGCTGGGGCTGTTCTCAGCTCCTGCCCTGCCTGGCTCCACCCCATAGGTGCCAATGTGGCAGCCCCTACCCAGGAAGGCCAGCGGAGGCCAGGGGGAAACGCAGGGTTGGGGAAGGTCGGGGAGTCCAGGAGACGGGGTGTGGGGTTGACGGCACGGAGCAGAGCTTCCACTATGAAGTCAACCACATGTGCCACTCTGGCGACTTACACACTGGCCGCCGGAGCCCTGTGTCCTCTCGGCTCCCCTAGGTCCTGGTGCGGTTCCTGTTCTCCATCAGCAAAGGGTACCGGAGAATCACCTACCACAACTGGCGTCACGGCTTCAACGTGGCCCAGACGATGTTCACGCTGCTTATGGTGCGTGGCTGCCAGAATGACCAGGGTTGTGCAGGCCCTCCTGGTACCAAGGGCAGCGCTCATGCACCCGGAGGGATGAGATGGGGGTCCTCCCAGGGCAGAGGGATGGAGGAGGGCAATGCCCTCTGACACCGCACACCCCGCCCCCAAGTCCTGCAGTGGTTGGAGGGCACCCGGGCCGACTCCTCTGCCATCCCAGCCCCTCACCACTCCCCACCCTGCTGGAGCCAGGACCGGTGAGCAAGGCGGCCCTGTCTCTACAGACCGGCAAACTGAAGAGCTACTACACAGACCTGGAGGCCTTCGCCATGGTGACAGCCGGCCTGTGCCACGACATCGACCACCGCGGCACCAACAACCTGTACCAGATGAAGTAGGCACCGCAGGCAGGCGTGTGAACTAGCCCTACATCAACTCCACGCCCTTGGCATGAATCGGGCTCCGCATAGCAGACTATGTAGAAAGTGGGCAGTGGTCCACACCTGTACTCCAGCACTGTGGGAGGCCAAGGCGAGCAGACTGCTTGAGCCCAGGAGTTCGAGACCAGCCTGGGCAATATGGCAAGATCTCTCCTCTACAAAAACTTAAAAAAAAAAAAAAAGCTGTGTATGGTGGCGCACGCCTGTGGTCCCAGCTACTTAGGAGGCTGAGGTGGGAGGATCACTTGAGCCCAGGATGTCAAAGCTGTGTTGAGCCATGACTGCACCACTGCACTCCAGCCTGGGTGACACAGCCAGACCCTGTCTCAAAAAAAAGAAAGAAAGAAAGGGGCTCATCTGGAGGGGCTGAAGAGCAGAGGGTGGGCTGAGGGCAGGTCCCATCAGCCTCACCCCCACCACCTGTGTGACAGGTCCCAGAATCCCTTGGCTAAACTCCACGGCTCCTCGATTTTGGAGCGGCACCACCTGGAGTTTGGGAAGTTCCTGCTCTCCGAGGAGGTTGGTATCCTCGTTTTCGGTTTCTGCTGTGGGCGCTGGGGATGCAGCGTCCGCAGGACCGCAGGGCCCTATCCTGCGGAGCAGGGTTCTGATGCGGAGGGTGAGCACTGGGTGGGTGAGCACTGGGTGAGGGCGGCAGAGAAGGCCCAGGGCCGAGGCTGGGGGCAGGTGCATCGGAGGCTCTGGGAAGACGCTTGTGGGGCTCGAGCCACATCTGGAAACCAGGACCCCTCGTGGGGTGGGGTGGAAGCCGAGGGGGAAGCGGCCTGGGACCCACCAGCGGGGGAATGAGGGGCAGCCGAGCCCTGAGTGGCCCCCAAGGACCTGGACCCTCAGCGGCCCCCTCCCTGCCCTCCCGGGTGGTGACCTCTGAGGCCATCTGCGTCCCAAGCCGACGACCCCGGGCGGGAGCCGCTGGCGGAGGTCTGGGCACCCTGAGGAGGGCCCTGAGCAGCAGGAGGATTTAGGGGTCCCGCCCACCGAGGGCCGGAGGGCGTGAGAGGCACAGGCAGTTGGGGCGGAGGGGGCGGGGTCCCCGGGCACCCCAAGAGGTGACCGCAGGGCGCCTGACGCGCTGGGCACGACCTCTGCAGACCCTGAACATCTACCAGAACCTGAACCGGCGGCAGCACGAGCACGTGATCCACCTGATGGACATCGCCATCATCGCCACGGACCTGGCCCTGTACTTCAAGTGCGCGCCTGCCCGGGAGGGGCGCCGGGCGGGGCGGGCGGGAAGCCTGGGACCCCCAGCAGACACGGGGGCGCAGCGGCCGTTTAGCCCGGGGGACGCAGCCCCGGATTCTGTCCCTGCCCGCCGGCCCCGCACACCCCGATGGGGCCTCGCTCCGGCTGCTCCTCCCTGCGGACGGGCGCTTGGGGCGGGGTCTCCACACTTGCTCCCACCTGCACGTCCCTTGTTCCTGGGTTCAGGAAGAGAGCGATGTTTCAGAAGATCGTGGATGAGTCCAAGAACTACGAGGACAAGAAGAGCTGGGTGGAGTACCTGTCCCTGGAGACCACCCGGAAGGAGATCGTCATGTGAGCGCGGGCGGAGGGGGCACGAGGGCTGTCCTTCCCCCGCAGGGACCGGACCCACTCATCAGCTGGTTAACCCTGCAGCCCTCCCCAGACGCTCTGGAGCAGGAAGAGCCAGTCGCGGCAGCTCCTAGAGGCCTGTGAAACAAACGCACCGTCCTTATTTCCCCCCAGCGCTCAGGGAGAGGGTGCAGAGGTGGGGAGCGCACAGGCACTGCCTTGGTCTGTAGCCCTTGGCAATAACTTAACTTCATTTTGACTTTCCACTTTTTCACCTGTAAAATGGTGATTCACAGCCAGCACCTCCCCAGGCTGGTCATCCCAGCACTTTGGGAGGCCAAGGTGAGTGGATCACCTGAGGTCAGGAGTTCGAGACCAGCCTGGCCATCATGGTGAAATCCCGTCTCTACTAAAAGTATAAAAATTAGTCGGGCGTGGAGGCGGGCGCCTGTAATCCCAGCTACTCGGGAGGCTGAGGCACGAGAATAAGGAGGTGGAGGTTGCAGTGAGCTGAGATCGCGCCATTGCACTCCAGCCTAAGTGACAGAGCAAGACTCCATCTCAAAAAAGAAAACACATATAGACCACCTGCCCTGAGCAGATGCCCATCAGCACTCATGCCCATCAGCACACATGCCCATCAGCACTCATGCCCATCAGCACTCATGCCCATCAGCATGCATGCCCATCAGCACTCATGCTGGCTTATGTGTCTGTAGGGCCATGATGATGACAGCCTGTGATCTCTCTGCCATCACCAAGCCCTGGGAAGTCCAGAGCAAGGTTAGGACACAGGGCCCTCCAGAGCCAGAGTCCGCACCTCTCAGCACAGGGGACTGCTGGCGGGGGAGGTGGGGGGCAATGGGAGCCTCGCAGATGAAAGACCATTGTTTGCAAGGAGCGCTGAGGGCTGCCTCCTCCTCCGCCTCTGGGCCAGGCCAGGGTGGCAGAGGTGGGGGTGCTGCAGTGTGCCCAACCAGAGCCCTGTTTGGTGAGGACCCTGGGGGTCTGGGGAGGAGAAGATCGAGGCTCGAGGCTCAGAGCCTCACAGGGCGGAACCAGGCCCCTCTGCATGGGCTCAGAGCTCCACAGACAGCTGCTTTCCTGTGCCTCCAGGTCGCACTCCTTGTGGCTGCTGAGTTCTGGGAGCAAGGTGACTTGGAAAGGACAGTCTTGGATCAGCAGCCCATTGTGAGTGCTGCTTCTGGAACCTTCCACTCCTGAAATGGGCGTTAGAGACCCCTCTTGGTCCTCGGGAGCCTCAGGTCCTGGCTAGGGGTCAGGCAGGGGGTTCTGAGGTCCTGGGGCTTTATCTCAGTTTGTGGGGTCACGTGACATGCGTATGGGTGGCTCGGATCTGGGTGCAGCTGTGGCTTGAGCGATGCTTATGCAGAGGTGACATCGTTGGCACTGAAGGAACGAGGGCCACTGGCTCATCACCAAGAGCCTCTGGGTCCAGACAGCTCTGCAGGTGAACCCCAGCGGGGCCGCGAGCCATGCCCCAGGAAAGCCCTGGGGAGGGTGCTGGGGCAGAGAACGCATGGGGAGTGTCCCGGGCCCACGTCGTGGTATGATGGACAATGCCAGGGTCCTCAGGTTAGCAGCAGGGTCTGGATACCTGCTGGCAGCAGGAGAGGCGCCAGCAAATGGGAGAGGTAGGATAGGCGCCGGGGAACAGGAGAGGGAGGGCTGCCCCAGCCCCATGTGGACCAGGTGGGAGCTGTGCTTTCTCACACACCTGCTCCAGTGGGTGGTGACGGGCTGTCTGGAGCCTGCAGTGGAGAGGGCTTAGGCCAGATGCAGCCTCGGCAGGAAAGGGGGCCTTGGTTGGTCAGCAAAGCCCCACAGGGGCAGGACAGGCAGCAGGTTCATCCCCTGGACCCGGCCTCTAGAGTCCTGTGTGGTTCACCCTCCATGGGGAGGCTGTGAGGGGACTGACAGATAGCCCAGGGCACTCAGGATCTGACACTAGAAACAGCTCCAGAGCATGTCTGTCTGCCCCAGGCGAGTGCATGGCAAGGTCCTGGTCAGCCAAGTGTCTGGGCAGTGCAGCTTGTCCAGGCTCGGCACTGTGTACAGTGCCATCCGCCTCCCTGCCTCTCCCCATTTGCAAGAAGGGTCCCCAGAGCCAAGAGGGAGCGGCCCTCAGGGGACCATGGGCTGGAGCCAACAGCAGCTGTGGGAAGGAGCTGCCCACAGTTCCTAGGAGCTGTGGAGCAGCTGGCCAAGGGGGAGGGTGTCAGCTTCCCTTCCCGAGAGCCAGTTTCTGTCGGGCAGGCTCCGTCCCAGGCTGTGTCTCCATAAGCACATCTGTGTCGCAGGGTCAGGGGGCTGGGCGGGGTCCGAGGAGCTACCTCCCTGTCACTGTTCTCCCGCCCTCTGCTCCTCCCACCAGCCTATGATGGACCGAAACAAGGCGGCCGAGCTCCCCAAGCTCCAAGTGGGCTTCATCGACTTCGTGTGCACATTCGTGTACAAGGTTCGTGGTTCACAGGTGTTCCGAGGTGACTGGGGCAGTGTGGCTGGGAGCAGGCAAGGGGGCGTGGGCTGGAGTCGTGTGGACTCACACAGGGGCCCGGCGGGCGTCCTCACTGGAGCAGGGATGCCGGTGCTGGCTTCATGCCGCTCTCGAGGAGGAACATCAGTGTCCGTACCCCCACAGGTGCCCCAGCCCGTCCTCACCCTGCTGCGCCCCTGGAAGCTCTGAGCCCTTTCCCAGCCCAGAATGTCCTCCGATGGCCTCCAGGCCCACCCCAGAAGTCCCTCCTCAGTGGCCCCCGCCGCAGCCAGTACACTCTGTTTTGGGAGCCCTGGCTGCAGCCCTGTGGGTTCATTCGTCCCATGTCTGTGAACCCTCGAGGCGGGGCTGGGTCGGCCTGTCTGCTGGTGTGCCTGCCCGCAGTGGCGTTTGGAAAAGCAGGAGGAGCCACATCCCTGCCAATCTGCCACAGTCCGATGCCAGCTGAGTCTCCAAAGATGCAAGGCGGGCACTGAGGGGGAGACTCGCTGGGGCAGGGGTCTGACCGTGGGGCCCCGGTGTGATGCCCACAAGAGCCACCTGCCTCCGGCTGCTCTCCCTGGTGATGGAATCCACACCCCAAGGAGGATGCCATGGGTTCCACATGAAGTTGTTCTGGAGCGGGATGTGCCCACTCCCCGCCCCGAGTCATCAGTGCTAGGGAGAAAGTGGGACAAGGGAGGATATTTGGGCCTGAAGTGGCCGCAGGTCACGACCCCACTGCAGGTGCCCCCCACTGCCTTCCCCACTCCGCCACACTCCATGTGTGATGTGCGCGAGTACACACGTGTGGTGTGTTGCATGATGTGTGCCGTATGTCAGGGGGAGGGACGGGAGAAGGCACTGCAGGGCCTGCTGTCCACCTGCGCCCACCACTCCTCTGGCCAGCACCCTGCCCCCACCCTCTGAGCTGTTCTGCTCATTCTTGGGTTCCTCTCCCTGCAACACTGCATCTTAAGCATTCACACCCTAAAGCTCCCGGCTTTAATGTCACCAACACCAGCCCCAAGGTTTCTCCCTTCGTAGGGCTCTGCTGGGAAGGTGACGCTCCGTGGCGCTCCCTCCTCCTGCCAGGCAGTTCCCCTACGAGGGGGAGGGGCTGGGGAAGGGCTATCTTACTTTCGGAGAGCAGGCAGGACAGGACTCGTGGTGACTTCTCAACCCCCCTCAGGAGTTCTCCCGTTTCCACGAAGAGATCCTGCCCATGTTCGACCGACTGCAGAACAACAGGAAGGAGTGGAAGGCACTGGCTGATGAGTATGAGGCCAAAGTGAAGGCTCTGGAGGAGGAGAAGAAGGAGGAGGAGAGGGTGGCGCTCAAGAAAGGTCTGGCTCTGTGTGGCCTGCGGGGCAGGGACTTGGTGACTCTCTCAAGACGAAGTGAAAAGACAGGGCGCAGAGCAGAGTTAAAATGGAGAAAAGCAGAGCCACTTTCAAGCAGCCCTGAGGTGGACAGGGCCATGGTGCAGGGAGCGGGGCTACGGCAGGGGAGAGCAGCAGCTGACTCCATCTTGGTAGCAAACCCGAACTGAGAAGTTTCCTGTTCCTAGCCGATGAACCCCATTTTTCACTAAAGAAGTAACTACATGTTACATTCTTTATAAAACACATATAACAAGTTGTAACAAGTCAGCACACCCCCAAGTTCAAATCCCAAAGGCATCGTGGTCTTGCCATTTGCCCGCAATTGGCTACCTTAGCTCTGAGGTTTGGCATGCTATTCCCACTACCCATACATATTCCCATGCTGCTCCCACTACCCCGTGCTGCTCCCACTATCCCGCGCTATTCCCGCTACCCCATGCTAGTCCCACTATTCCATGCTGCTCCCACTACCCAAAGATATTCCAGCTACCCCATGCTATTCCCACTACCCCATGCTGCTCCCACTACCCCATGCTATTCCAGCTACCCTATGGTATTCCCACTATGCCATGCTATTTATCCCACTACCCCATGCTATTTCCCTACCCATGCTCTTCCTGATGTCCCATGCTATTCCCCTATGCCATGCCAGTTCCCTACCCCATGTTATTCCCAGTATCCCATGCTATTCTTCACTACACCATGCTATTCCCATTATCTCATGCTATTCCCACTATCCCATGCTATTCCCCTATGCCATGCTATTTCCCTACTCCATGCTATTCTCACTGTCCCATGCTATTCTTCACCACACCATGCTATTCCCATTATTCATGCTATTCCCACTACCCCATGCTATTCCCCTATCCCATGCTATTCTCACTACCCCATGCTATTCTCACTGTCTCATGCTATTCCCACTACCCCATGCTATTCCCCTATGCCATGCTGTTTCCCTACCCCATGCTATTCTCACTATCCCATGCTATTCCCAGTATGCCATGCTATTCCCACTATGCCATGCTATTCCCACTATCCCATGCTATTCCCCTATGCCATGCTGTTTCCCTACC